CCCTCAAGTTACAAATTGCCCTTGTTTCTAAATTCTTTCCAATTTTCACAACCTAAAAAAACGCATTGATCCTCATGGCCTTTTTTCTTTCAATTTATTTGACTTGCATTTGTTTCTTATTAATTTCTATTTCAAACAAACAGTCGTTTGTTATTAGTATCATTTTAAAAAAAATGGTTAACTAGTCATTACTCCTATTCAGACAATTCATTCAGATTCAAAAAGAAACAGACAATGTTTATACAAAACCTATTCCATACATCATTTTTCCATTCATCACTTTATTTGTACAACACTTGATAAGAAAAAAAGGAAACAGCCCCTAATTTGAAAATTATAATAGTCAGATAACTAGGTTTTGCTGATCTTAATCTCAATCATTGCAAACTAAACTTGTATTAATTACACTGGTTGTTTAATTTAGGGAAAGATGAACTTGTTGAAGACTCTCATCTACTGCTATCTATCCCTATAAGCACAAGCCACCAGGGAGAGAAGCGTAAATCATCAGTTCCTAAAAGGAGTCGGTCAATTTCTATATTAGAAGCTGCTGACAACAAAGCCCAGACATCAGGCAAAGACTCGGTTAATGACACCAATATTGCTTCAGAAGCAAAGGAATCACATCACTTAATTACTAAAGTCTCCAGAAAGAGACAGAAGATCGTGGCACCCAAAGTAAGCATGGGCATGAATGAACATCACACTTTTTCCCATTAGTTTGACTTTTTATGTGTTTGTGATATTTATGGCACACTATTTGCAGATTCCAAAATCTGAAGCTGCTATTCATACAACTGGTAAAGAGTGTCTGGAGTCTGAGGTAGGCTTGCTCATTATCTTCTTTTACTTTTGAGTAAATTACATTTTTTAGTCCCTGAGTATTGCTGATTTTTTCAATTTTGGTCCCAAAAAGTTTTTTTTATGTAGTTTTAGTCTTACTTGAGGTTCTTATAACGTTTTTTGTCCTTGTTCCAAGTAAAATAACTATATTTACTCTTTTTGGGACCAAAACTGAAAAAGTTAGCTATACCCAGGGACCAAAAATGTAATTTACTCTTTACTTTTTGAAACACAATGGCAAAAATGATGGAATAACTTATGTTATTGTATACAATTAGGCTACAGAGAGTAAAAGTATACCCCAGTTGGCCAAAAATGACAAACATACCCCTTCTAGTATTGACACAAGAAAGGAAGTAGACATACGTACCAAAGTCAGGAGCAAGCATAAGCTGTTCAAACCAGACACTCTTTTTGATGCAGTTGGAAAAGACAAGCCAAGGGTACACTTCCCTTCTCTGAGTCAAACTTAACGTACTTATCTCAAATATTAGTTATTTTCTATCTGTATATCAACTCAACTGTTGATAAGTTTTGATCCAATTTTCAGGAAGAACTTTCTAATTGTCTATCAAACAAGCTGATGCGAAGATGGTGTGCATGTGAATTTTTCTACAGTGCAATAGACGACCCTTGGTTTGCCAAACAGGAATTCGTTGAGTATTTGTATCATGTTGGTTTAGGCCATGTTCCAAGATTAACCCGTGTTGAATGGGGTGTTATCAGAAGGTATTTGATTTTTATGTTATATAATACAAATTTGTATTTTATTTGGCGTATCATTTTTTGATGCAGTTCTCTTGGGAAACCACGGAGGTTTTCAATTAACTTTTTGAAGGAAGAAAAGGAGAAGCTTAATCAATATCAAGATTCTGTTAGGACACATTATACTGAGCTTCGTTCTGGTAGTAGAGATGGATTACCAACAGATCTTGCTAGGCCATTATCAGTAGGGCAACGTGTTGTAGCTATCTATCCAAAAACAAGAGAGATTCATGATGGAACTGTATTGACCGTAGATCATGATCATCACAGGTGTCGTGTTCAATTTGATCGACCTGAGCTAGGTGTTGAACAAATCATGGTAAATATTTTAGGTGTATTCTTTTTTATCTTAATATTTATTAGTTTTAAAAAAAAAAAAAAAAGTTGGCCCACAAATTTTTTATTACTATAATAACTTTATGTATTTTGTTATTAGGCAGTTATACCCAAAACAGCCACTTTATTAAATGAAGAAGAATCACATTTGACACTCATTTAAATGAATGTTTACACATGCATTTATACAAATATTACACTTATGTAATGTTTTATGGAGTTTTTATTAGATTACTAGTATTGTAATATATTATATATGTCAATTATGTGTTTTATTTAAATATGTGACATGTTTAAGTTATTGGGAGATATAAATAATTAGTTTTAAAACATTAAATTAAATATAAATATATAATCAACTAGAACAAAGACCAAACCTCATAACAAAATGGGGGGTTAGATGTGTAAATCCTTATCTCCACCTGAGGTTAGAGACTAGAGAGGCTGCTTCCATAGAATTGACAAGTAACAAATATATATCTTAACTTATGATACATTTAATATATAATGTAGTATCACAAATAATAAACCAAATGTGCATATAATCTAAAATTGAAGGAACAAATTGTACAAAGGAAACTTTAACAAAAGTTTAATGTAAATGACCATATTTGGTGTTATATTTACCATTATCATCTTGTTGTAAAAAATGGGATTTGGTGTTGGGTTGTAAATGTACTAATTCTAATGTATCTTAATGAACTGTTGTAATATCCGATACCCGTTTTATTTGTTTTGGTCAACTAATAAAAGCCTTTATTTTGGGCACTATAGAAAGCTCATAGTGGGATAACTGTTTTTTTATTTTTTAAATAGTAATTTTGCTTACAAGTTTCTACTTTGCTTCCAGATATGAATGAAATTATGTCCTTGTGTTTCTTCTTTGTTTATGCTAAGAACATTTTATAATGAATATTGTCTTAATAATGTACATGACATGATTTTGTATTGACTCAGGATACCGATTGCATGCCCTTAAATCCTTTTGAGAACATGCCTGCATCACTGATGCGTCAAACACCTGTTGGCAAGTTCTTGGAGAGCTTAAATGAGGTCAAAATAAAAGATCAGAGATTAGAAGGTTACACAAACACAAAGTCCACTTCTCGTGAACAATTAGAGAACATGTATGATGCTGCTTCAATTAAGTCCAATTTGCTATCTAGAAATCATCATGGGACCCACTCTGCACCTGGTACACTTGCACAATTTCATGCAAAAGAAGCTGATGTTGAAGCCATTGCTGAACTGACCCGTGCTCTTGACAAAAAGGTTCTTCCATCTACATTCTTGATAGTTTTGTATTAGTTAAGTATATTTGAAAGTAGCCTTCGACTTTTTGGCCATTTAAATGAAAACCCATTAGTTAATTTTTTATATCATGAAAACCGAAAATTCAAAATTCTTTAAAAAAAATCACTGATGACTAGTTATAGCCAATTAACTGGTCATCTGTGCTGATGTGGCATTTGCAAAACTGGAATTTCCATCAACACCATTAAGTTTTGATCCACTTTTTGAAGAAACCATTGTGATGTGGCATTTTATTATTATTATTATTTGTTCTTTGGTTTTTGTTTTTTAAAAAAAGAAAATGAAAAAAATCGAAAATATAAAAAAATATTAATAACGGAAAAGAAGAAAAAACCAAGAAAAGCCCGAAAGAGAAAACCAATAATTGTAATAATTATCAGAGTAAGTTACAAATTTGGTCGCTATGCTTTACTCAAACTTGGAAGTTCAGTCCAAAATTTGTAAACGTCCAATGTCTTCCCTAAGTTTGCATTTTGTTGCGGATATGGTCCCTGTAACCACAAGTTCAGTCCAAATTTTGAAGTCATTTTATAGGGGTCGGGGATCATATCCGCAAACAAAATGCAAACATAAGGAGTAAGGAAAACATTGGAAAATTTCCAAATTTTGTACCGAACTTGCAATTTTGGGTAAAGCAAAGGGACCAGATTTGCAATTTATTAAACATGTTGAAATGTGCAGGAGGCTGTGGTTTTTGAGTTGAGGCGAATGAATGATGATGTGTTGGAAAACCAAACGGATGGTGAGTTTGCTCTTCAGGAGTCAGATGCTTTCAAAAAGCAATACGCAGCTGTTCTTGTACAGTTAAATGAAGCAAATGCTCAGGCAAGGGCAATATCGTCTTTCCACCCCACCCCTCAGAAATATTTTTGTTATTTAATTTAACATGTCCTAAAGTAGGTTGGTATTTTTCCTTTTTCAGGTTTCTTCTGCTTTGTTTCGCTTGAGACAACGCAACACATATCAGGGCAACTTCCTCCTCACAACCTCGCCCAAGACAGTGGCCACAGAAGACTCAAAATGTCAAGTCAATGAGATTGTTGAGATATCAAGAACCAAGGCTCGTACAATGGTAGACATAGCCATACAGGTCAGATATTTTTATTATAATTTTATAGGCTTAAAGCCTGAAATACAGAAAAGATATTAATATCACAAGTGGATTATTCTAATAATCTAATTATATTTTATTCGAATTAACAATTTAGGCGATTTCATCGCTGAAGCTTGATCCTACGGTTGAGATTGACAAGGCTGTTGATTATGTAAATGATCGGCTTCCGTTGGATGATTCCTTTGTGACTGTAAAAGCACCTGATTCTAAGTCAATGAAGTCAAATCCTTGTGATTTAAATAGAGCATCAGTCCCCTCTGAACTGATAACTCAGTGTGTGGCTACTCTGTTCATCATTCAGGTAAAAAATTAGTTAAATAAAGCATCCTACATCCATTTTTTCACTGCTTGCTATAACTGGGTGGAATTTTCAAAATGAGAAATAAATAAAAAGTAGAGTATGTTGGTATTTAAGAAGTTTGGTGGGATGGAATTTACAGAAATGTACAGAAAGAGAGTTTCCACCAGCGGAAGTAGCGAGTATATTGGATTCAGCAGTGTCTAGTTTACAACCGTGGTCCCCACAGAATGTGCAGGTATATGCAGAGATACAGAAATGCATGGGGATAATTAAGAACCAGATTTTAGCTCTAGTACCAACCTAACTTAACTTAATTTTTCTCAATTAATTAATTGTACATGCGAAATTGTCAAAGGACTGAATTTCAGATTCTCAATCTTTGGTATCATTTCTCTCTCTTTCCCTATTTAACTTTATAGCTGGAATGTCCATTTCTCATTGCTTGATTGCTTCCCTTGCTTGCTAGTTTGTTATTATTATTTTGCATTTGTTTGTAGTCTATGTTGATAAAAATAGAGTCAATGTAGTATTTCTGAAGAATGGAGCTTAAATCACTTTTTGTTGGGCATAGGCATTGTTAACATATAAACGCTATTTATACAAATGACATAACATTTTCTAATTATTGACCATTTAAAAAAAAAAAACTGTTTTTGAAATTAACTAGTTTATACTTATTTTTGTGAAATACTAGTATTTTATAAAAGAACCTCATAATTTGTTATCATTTAAATATATGTAATAGTAAATTACATGAATGGTCCCTATGGTTTTGGGTAATTTGCGCATTTGGTCCCTAACTTATTTTTTTAACTCGGAAGGTCTTTACTGTTTGTTTTTGTTACACGCTTGGTCTCTACTATTTGTTTTTGTTACGTGCTTGGTCCATGTCTTACTTAAAAAGACTATTATTTAAATAGGGAAAAACAGTGGGGTAGGTAAGGTAAAGTGAGGGTATGGGGTTGGGGGTGTGTTTATTTAAATAAATTACAAAATCAATGAGAAAAAAATATGGACCAAGCGAGTAGCAAAAACAAACCGTAGGGACCTTCCGAGCTAAAAAAATAAGTTAGGGACCAAATGCGCAAATTACCCTAAACCATAGGGACCATTCGTGTAATTTACTCTATATGTAGTATTTAACTACAACATTAAATAAAAAAGAAAAAGACAAATCTAATCAAAATAATTAATTTTTTTTCAATATTTAACAAATTAGTCTTTTTCTAGTATAACCACAAGTTTTAAAGATTTACCAAAACTTAGTCTTTTTTCTAGTATAACCACTAACTACTACGATTTTTTGCCATGGGAAATGTGTTTTGGCTTTGCAAAATAGGCTTTTCATGTCTAAAACATCTTTTTTTTTTCTTTAGTTTTTATATTATATTTTTTTTGGTAAATCTTTTTAGATCTAAGACTTTGTTTTAGCAACATAAAACTCTCTTGTGCCACCTTGACAATAACAATCCTATGAATCTCATCATCAATGGCACTCGACTTTTCGGGGTCGTTAGAACCTAAACCTTGGGTACAGAAACACACAAGAAAACCATCAGAATTAGGCTAAAGCGTGTACACAAACATCCACACTCCTCTAAGCTCCTTAGTTCCTTAAGATTCCTTCTTGAGCCACGTACGGATCCAGTGATTTCACTAGTATGGACCCAATACTACCTTCTACACCAACCCGTATTTGTCTCAAGTCATCATCTCAATACCCTAAGTCACAAGGAGACTATTCTTCAAGAGCATTTATACACCCACACTGTCGATTCCCCAAAACCTCTACAAAGCATCTAGTCACCCATCCAAGGCTGCTCCCCTGCACTGCTCCGCCTCACAAGGCCTCCGCTATCCTCACCATTTGCTTCGCACATGCCAATTGTACACAATACAAGACTCCATAGACCGTTAAATAAATGATTCTACCTCAAATCCACAACCAGACAAGGAACAAGAAGAAATATTAAATCAGACATTCTAAGACTATAAAATCCTAACTATATACAATTATACAACATACACCAATCAAATAGCAATGACAGATTCAATCTTATAAGAGCAAAATCCTAGGATAAAGGCATCACAAATCACACAACCTTATCACACTTTTCCTATAGGATCCTTAGCCTATCACTATCATGCAGTTCTATCAGTTCATAAGATATCAACTCTACACTACTCATAAAATAATTTGAGATAGTTTGGGAAACTATCGCTCGAGCTCTGGCTGATTGTACACACTGCTTCACTGGGTTTTTCTTTTGTAAAATTTTCTTCGTTCCTTTGAAAAGTTTTATGAAAATCTTTAGATCCTTAGTTTGAGTTTGGAACTCCCCTAGAGTTCATCCAAATCCCTCAACCCAGGGCTCTGATACCAATTTGTAACATCAAAATTTTCAAACCAAAATTTTCATTTTTAAAACCATAGAAAAACAGTTTTCATAAAACCAACCCAAGAAAAGTCATAATGTCAATTACAATTCCACATCAAAATATCAGAGTGTCCCAAAATGTCCAAACAAAATCCCCCGACAAATGTGTACAATCAAGCCTTCGCCTTCCCGAGATCCTCAAAAGTACCTGAAACACATTTAATCAATAACTGTAAGCACAAAACTTAGTGAGTTCCCCAAAATATCACATACAACAGAACACAGAAAACAACTATGGGTTATCAGCAACCCTGGAGACTACCCGAAGTCTTAATGGACAAACAGCACGCCCCGTGAGTTATCAGCAACCCTGGAGACTACCCGGAGTCTCAACACATATAAACAACACATACACAATAATAGCACTTAGACCCAGCTGGTCATAACATGTATATATATACATTTATTCTACCACACATGTAAGGATAAGTGAGGAGACTCACCTGACACTGATGACTGATATAACTCACACCCGAACTGCCGAAACTAGACTCTTCCTAATTAAATACACCAATTAACCTTAATGAATAATTAAGGTATTTTCATATACAATACTAAGCCCAAGTCAAGTCTAGTCCACACTTAGAGTAAAATACCATTTACCCTTCACAAATCCCTCACCATCCACCTAATACTAAATTGTTCAAAATCCGCAAAAGTCAACAAAATTCAACTTGCTCCGTACACTCGGTGTACTTGTCTCTATGCTGGGCGTAGAGCGAATCACCAAAAAACGGGCCCGCATAAGGCTACGTGGGGCGTAGCCAAGCGTACGCACGCTGTTCCCACCATCTTCATGCAAAATGTCTTAATCCTTAAGGCATTCATTCTAAACACAGATCTGGCCCCTTAAATAACGTCTTAATACATAAAGTCTATGACTTTAAGCCTTTGCATGGCTATAAGGAGCTAAAACTCAAAACCCATAACTTTTACTTCATAAAAACCTCCACAACTCTTGCATGAAAGAAAAGAAGTGACCAAGCTAGCATTTTTATGAATCAAGACACCTTAGAATGTCTGAAAGGACAACTTAATAACTCTGTAGTACTCCATACTCACAAAGATCCAAGCTTGGGACAAAAAGAACCAAAATGCAAGACTAAACAAGATCTATTTAAACAAGCTCCAAGATTTGAACTTTATACCTTAAAAAGGTGCACAAGAGGATGACTTTTCTAGATCTACAAGCTAGAGTGCACCACCACATCTTGAATGATCTTCTTTCTAGCACCAAACACTCAAGATTCACTTTTCAAGCTTCAAATCTCTCATACACAAGCTAGGGTTTCGTTCTAAGGTTTAGAGGGAATGAAGGCTGGATAAGATGATGTCCAAGGGAGGAATAAGATGATTAAATAGGGGTCACACCCTAAATTTTAGGGTTTGACAGTACGCCCGACGTACTCACACGTACGCCTAACGTACTCCCTCCTCCGCCTTAACTCCTCGAAGACTTACGTCCGACGTACAATGCTAGTACGTCCAATGTAAGTGGCCAAAATGCAAACTTATAACAACTTCAATGGCTGAAAAATAAAATACCTGACAACGGGTGTTACATTTTTTTTTAAAATATTGTTAAGATTCTTACAATAATATTTAGAAATTAAATCATAAAACGTCAATAATTAATAAATTTATGATAATTTTTATAAATACAACAAAGGGATAAAACTATAATGGAATAAATAAAACAAACTTGTCCCGTTCAAAACCATAGAACGTTTCATTTAAAAAAAGTCGATTATTTATCGAATACTAATAATACCGTTCAACCAAATAATTGAATAAGGTGGTGATTAGGATTGAAGACTTACGTCCGACGTACAAGGCTAGTACGTCCAACGTAAGTGGCCAAAATGCAAACTTATAACAACTTCAAGGGCTGAAAAATAAAATACTTGACAACGGGTGTTACATTTAAAAAAAAAATATTGTTAAGATTCTTACAATAATATTTAGAAATTAAATCATAAAACGTCAATAATTAATAAATTTATGATAATTTTTATAAATACAACAAAGGGATAAAACTATAAGAGAATAAATAAAACAAACTTGTCCCGTTCAAAACCATAGAACGTTTCATTTTAAAAAAAAGTCGATTATTCGTCGAATACTAATAATACCGTTCAATCAAATGATTGAATAAGGTGGTGATTATGATTGAATGATAGTTGAATGGAGTGTGAGTGATGACATTGAGTATAGTTGAATGAAGTGTAGGTGATGACATAGAGTAGAGTTGAATGGAGAAGTTGAATGATCATTGAATGCTAAGAATAAAATGGTGATTATGATTGAATAAGTGTTTAATGAGTTGTGGGTGGTGTTGTATAGATGTTTAATGGATGATGTGACAATCCTTTAAACTCTATAGAGTTCAATTGATTGTGGATGCCCTTATGGATAGACCGAACATGATAACTTTTGCAATGTTATTTGACCGATGATTCTTTGGAAAATTTTAAAAAGGATTACGATCTAGGCTTTTAAATGGGGATACCTCCCTAGTAGTATCTAAAATGTATATGGTCATGGAAGTTCATACACAATGATGCACTACTCCAAACATATTATCTTCCGATAACATTTATTCGCTAGCATATGACATACGCAATATTTATAAAACAGTAAAATGTTTTCATAAACAGTCAAGACATAATTCAAAACATTGCATTTGTAAAGCATATATAGATTTTAAACATATTAGACATGTGTCCCAAACTGAAAAATAACCACGCATTCACCTCAAGCAAGTAGTGTATGTCTTACATCCATTCCTACAATGACTTTTCGAGCTCTAAAACCTCAATAAATTTAGACCCTCCACCGATCTATTTGTCTTATAAAAAGAGTGCATGTATTTATAGTACTTTTTATTTTATAGGTACCCTCAATTGCTTGATGTATCCTTTATGTAAGTGTATGTCTTTTTGACATCTCTCTTCCTAAT